GGAACCCAGGGCGAGGGCCACCACTCCTAGCTGAATTACCACTGCTTTAAGATCTCAAGCTACCTTCCTGATGGATACTCTTTTGACAGAGACTTGAGGAGTTTAATGAGATTTTTCACCATTTATGTTGCTCTCTTACAGGCATAGAGAAGGAGTTGCAGCTGTTACAAGAGTCTCAAACCCAGCTGGGTGGTGATGAGTCACCCCTTTAAGGCCAGCACTGGGAAGACAGAGGCAAGCGGATCTCTGTGAATCCTGGACTACAGAGAGAGTTTTCCAGGACAGCCAAAAAATAAAAATAAAAAAAGCCAAAAGAGAGAGAAAGAGACTCAAACCCACACCACAACAAATTAGAATTTTCATCTGAAAAATAATTTATCAGATGATATAGATAAAAGATAGATAATAAATGGTAGGTGAATAGATGACAAACAGAAGGATAGATAGATGAATGAGAGGTGGTAGGTAACTAAAAGACAGATGATAAAATTGTTCAAATATGCAGAGCTGGATTTTTAAAATTATGAATAGAGCCTGCTGTGGTGGCACACAGCTGTAATCCCAGCAACTGAGAGGTAGAGTCAGAAGAATCAGAACAGGACCAGCCTTGGCTACATAACAAGTTAGGAAATCAATCTGGGCTACAGAATACTCTATCTCAAACAAACAAACAAACAAACAAACAAAAAATGGAAAGCAAGAGAGAGCATGGTAGCACATGCCTTTAATCCCAGCGCTGGGGAGGCAGAGGCAGGAAGATCTCTGAGTTTAAGGCCAGCCTGGTCTACAGAGTGAGTTCCAGGGCAGCCAGAGCTTCACAGAAAAACCTGTCTCAAAACCCAAAATTAAAAGCTAAGGCATGGTGACGTCACCAAGCCTGCAATCCCAGCACTCCGGAAGCAGAGTTAAGGATATCACTGTGAGCTGGGAGCCAGTCTGGTCTAAGTAGTGAATTCAACACCACCAAAGGAAGTCTTGTCTCAAAACAGCAGCTAACTAGAATGAACCAATGAGACCACTCTGCAGGTGAAGGCGCTTGCTGCCTGAGACCCACAGAGATCAACTCAAGGAACCACATGGTGGAAGGAGAGAACCAAGTTGTCCTCTGACTGCCACAGGCATGCCAGGTACACCATGGCATGTGCACACATGAATAAATGGTCTAGGCTGGCCTTAACCTTACCATTGAAAGAACTGGAGTTGGCACAGGACACACCAAGACCAACTTCTCAGGACAAGGGAGAAGGAAATGGGAGTGGGGAGGTGGTGGAATGTATTTGCCACAGAGGGACAAAGGTCTGCCTCTGAATAGAGAGCAGACAGATATGGCCCATAGGCAAATGGCAGTTTACAAAGGATGAGATTTGTTTCATTTTGATTGGGCATGTTAACTAGGGTAGCTAAAAGGGGGCTTTTGATTGTTGGACTTCACTGCTTTGATAGCTGGACCTTGGTGATCAGCCTTAGGAATGAGCCTGGCATAAGAAAGAATAGAACTTGGTGGCTAGTTTAGACATGTAATGTATGATTTACAAGGAGGAGAGGAGAAGGAAGGGCAAAGACTGCCAGCTCCATGTTTGCCATGCTAGGATCTGCTAGAGCTCCTCCATCCTCTTGCCTTATATGTTATATGATAGCAGACATGGGCCATCAAATCTGACTCTTTTGGAAATATTTTAAGCATTAGAATTTTGATCTCTCAAAGGGTCTGGTGTATGTCCCATTCTTGCAACCCAACACTGGAAAAGCTGAGGCAGGAAGGAAGATCTGGAGTTTATACACTAAGACTCAAAACTATGAAAGAAAGGACTGGACTTTTCCTCAGCGGAAAAGGCACAGGCAAGAAGAGCTGAGTGTGGAGGCCGGCACCTATGTAAACAGAGGGGTGGAAGGTATTAACAAACAAGAGAATAGCTAGGACTCTCTGGCTCCAGGCTCAGTGAGAGACCTTGCCTCAAAGGAAAAAGACAAACAGTGGGACCTCCTCTGGCCTCCACAGTCACACACAAGGGCACCCATATGTTCACACACATACACCCACAAACAAAAACTCACATATATCAAGTTTGTACATTCTGTGCCAAAGTCTCGGCTTGTTCCTTCTGACAAACAATTCTAGCTGTAAGAGCTTTGAAGCCGGGAGCTTCTCTTTCAGTGTCCTGCACACCAACTCCTATGGGAGGCCCCCTCCTGCAGAGCAGTCCCAATCTTCAGGAGGCTGCTTTCCCTGGGCCTTTCCCTGCAACTCTTCACCCCTCACTTCCACTTAGAGGAGGGCAATTTACACTCCTCCCCCCCACCCCCCATCATGAGACTTTCTGAGGATAGAGGTGGAGTAAAGATAAGGCTTCTAGTGTGAGAGTCTGTTTCCTAGTTCTCACATTCAAAGGGGAAGGCCACCCCGTTATGCCTACCTTCTGCACATGACTGGTTTAGGATGAAGCAATCCTTGCAGTGCTATCGCTGGAGGCAGAGGAAGAAGCATGAGGTCAGCACAACTGGAACCACACAGCAGCTCGGCTGTGTGGGAAGGCAAGGTTAGGGAAGAGTTTAGAGGCAACACTTCTTAGGCCACTATGCTTAAGGCATCTGTAAGTCACTCCGAGAGCTTTATTTTTATTACTTTGTGTCTGTGTGAGAGAGAGAAACAGGGTTTCTCTGTGTAGCCTTGGGTGTCCTGGACTCCCTTTGTAGACCAGGCTGGCCTCGGACTCACAGTGATCCACCTGCCTCCGCCCCCCTGAGTGCTGGGGCTAAAGGCATGAGCCACCACATCCAGCTCTACCTTTATTGCTTTTGTTGTTGTTTGTTTTTCAAGACAGAATATCTCTTTATGTAGCTCTTGAACTCTGTGTAGACCAGACTAGTCTTGAACTATGTCCAGTGCTGAGATCAAAGGTGTGTGCCCACTCTCAAGAGAGAATCGTAAACACCAAGTCAGTCACAAACCCTTTATCTTCTATGGTGTCCTTCCTACAAGATATGCCAGGGCAATGGTAGCACAAAACTTGTGGGAGGAACCAACCGATAACTGATTTGACGTAAGCCCCACTTTACAAGATGGACCCATATATGACACTTCCCTGGGTGACCAGGAATCTGAGATTAGATAGTTCAGGGGCCTAGGGTACAACCAAATAATAATGATCTAAAAAAAGAAAAAGAAAAGTAGTGAGAAAATGACTCCTAATGATATTCTGCTATACTCATAGATCAGTTCCTTATTCAGCTATCATTTAGAAAAGCTCCCTCCTGTAGAAGATGGGCATAAACATGGAGAGCCACAGCCCAACATTATGCAGAGAGACTTTGGAACCCTCAGCCCCAAAGAAATATCTGAATGAAAACTCTCCCCCCAGAGCTCAGAGAAACACCTCTACTCACCCCCACGACATCCACAAAAGATGAAGCAGAAAGACCGTAAGAGCCAAGAGGGATGGAGGATATTAAGAAAGCACAGCCCTCTAAATCAACAAGAGCACAGCTCATATGAACTCAGGGACTGAAGCAGCAAGTACAGGCCCACCAGTCCTCTGCATATGTATTATGGCTTCCAGTGTAGTATTTTTATGGGATTCCCAACTCTGCAAATGAGTGGGTCTCTAATTCTTGTGCCTTCTCTGGGGCTCTTTTCCTTCTATCGGCTTATCTTGTCCAACTTCAATGTGATAGTTTTTATCTTATTTTTCATTTTGTTATGTTTTTTAAAAGATGAATGAAAACCTAGCCACTAGGGTAAAGGTTAACAACTGAACTGTCACTTTTAACTGCCAGGAGAGGGGAAACTAGCTTTCTCCAATGAAGGGACACTGGGTATATCAACTACCCCAGGGCAGGCCTCATGTTCAGTAGTTGCCCAACATATAATTGGACTCCACAGTCTGTGTGTGCTTTTATTTGGTTACAGTTTGATAGTTGTTTTTCTTTTGGGTTGTGGTTTTGTTTTCTTGGTTTAGAGGTTGTTTTTGTTGTTGTTATTGTTTTGTTTTTGAGAAAGAACTTAAAGTTGAGCAGTAGGGATAGGGAGAGGATCCAGAGGGACTTGGGAAAGGGAAGAGAATATTATCAAGATACTTGGAATTTGAAAAGTTTTAAATAATGACAAATGTAATAATGAAATCAAATTAAAAAATAAAACTTACAAACTGAATAATTGTAATAAATGATAAAAGTTAAAAAAGGAAAAGTAAAAACACTTTTTAACTGCTTTTTGTTTTCTTAAGCTAAAGAAAAAAGGCATATGCTACCATATTTGTTGTTTCTTTCAGAGTGTTCTGTGAGACATAAAGCGTTCAAAGACCTAGGCCTGGGAAGACGGCTCAGTTGCCAAACTGCATACACTGAGAACATGAGGGCTTAAAGTTCAGATCTTTAGCACTCGCATAAAAGCTGAGCATAGCAGCATGGTCCTGAAGTCCCAAGGCTTGAGAGGGGGGCGCCTGAGGCTTGCTGGCCAGCTAGTTCAAAGTTTACTGAGGTTCTGCTTCTAAAATTAAGGGAGCTGGCTCAACTGGTAAAAGTGCTAGTCACACCCACCTTGATGGAGAGAAAGAAACTCCTGAAAGCTGTCCTCTGTGGACCAACAACGTGACTCAGCAGACAACGATAAAAGGGCATTGAATTCCATCCCTGGCATCCACAAAGTGGAGTGAGGGAAAGGACGGATTCCCATAACTGTCCTTTGACCTCCACACATGAAGGATCACCACATCCACACAGAAAAATAAAAAAATGTAACTTTTTAATTAAAAAGTGGCATTCTGACCTCCACACAAGCACCATAGCATGCACACCCACACACATGCAATAATATCTTTAAAAATGTGGAGGAACTATTGACCTCTGCTACACACCTTCCCACACAAACATATACCCATGCGTGTAAGTACACACGCACGGGCGCGCACACACACACCACACCAGCTGTCTGGTGATATACATGTGTTAAAGATAAGCTTCCTAACTTACACAAAACACACGGGAAGACTGGTGGCATTTTTGAATAGTGGCTACAGTATCCACCTTTATTTAATAGTTCAGACCACAGTGTCAGTCTTCAGAAACATACATATAAATACAGTCACAGACCATAAATACCCATTGGCAAAATGTCTACCTTCAAAGAAAAAAAAATCTTCCAAGTAAACAACCTTAATGCTAAGGCCCACTAACTGCTGAGGTAACATCTCCAAACTGACTAGCTCCATGTGCCACATGACACCCTTCATGTGCTCATGAAACCCTTGTCTCAAAACAAAAATGAAAGTGACACACACATGCTCAAACTAAAAAAAATAACTTATTAAATATGTAAAATATTATCCTGGTAAATGCAATCATAAGATTATTTCCTTTTTTGGACATTTCTTTTTGTTTTAGTTAACTGACAAATTAAACGTGTGTTTACAGGGTTGAGATTCAATACATGGATACCCTGGGAAAAGATCAAACAATTATTATGCATACCCCATCATTTCTGGTAGGCATCATAGCCTTGTGGTCAGAACAAGCCACATCCACTCAGTTTCTATCAAATACACATGAATTGTAGTTGTCTTCCTGTATAAGGGAATATCAGAACCCTCTTCTAGTTTTGCACCCTAAAACTGATGTGGCCCTTTTCTTGTCTCCCATACCCTCCCCAGCCATCTTACTCCTTTTTGCTCACTTTGATTTTTGTCGCAATATGAATGATAGAAGAATGATGTGTGTAGAGGTGCCTGGGTTATGTAATATCCATGTCTGACAAATAACGTTTTCTGCTTTTTAAGATTCAATTTTGTTTATGTTCCCACTTTTAAAGTCCTTTCAGCCCTTGATCAGTTGTTTCACTGTCTTGGCTAATACAAATAATTAAAAAATGTAGTAAACATCCCTTCAGCAGACAGATTTCAACACCTTTGCATATATACTCAGTAGCGGGACGGCTGGGTTTAAGGTGGTTCATGTCTTAGCTTCTCAAGGAACCTCAATGTCATTTTACAGACTAAGTGTCCTACCTTACAATACTAACAAACTATACAAAAATTCTTTCTCAAGTCCTTAACAAGTTTATTATATTTCATTTCCAAAAACTGGCAAATCCAGAGACTACAAGACCACCTCATGGTGGCTTTTGTTTATAGTTCTCTGAATCATACCTGTTGGCCATCTGCCTTTTTGGAAATGTCTCTTGCCTCTGTTAACCAGGATTGATTTGCTATTGAGTAGTTTGAATTTCACGTTTACAGCACTCGGGAGGCAAAGTTGATACCAACCTGGTCTAGAAAGGGACTTCTGGGACAGCAAGGGCTACACAGAGGAACCCTGTCTCCCCACCCCCCCCAAGCAAGTAAACAAAAGAAATACTTTTGGAGGGTTAAAAAACTTTAGAAACTTATGAATCTTTTACTAAGTTTTAATTGCATCAACTTTTAAAAGTTTGTTTTTCCATTGTCTCGGGTTACATAAAATCCAAACTCTCTTTTTATCATAATATTCAATCTGCAAACGTTTTACTGGCACCAAGTGACCTTGCTACACTTCTAATTTTTTTCAGTTACTTGGTAGTTTTCCCTTACTTTCCAGTTAACGGTTACAGTAACACACTTGAAAAGTCATCTCAACAGACACAAGTTTGTAGTGACCTACAAAATCAGTTTTTACTAAAACATTCAGTGTTGTCAAAAATGAAATGTTTTCTCTTAGAAGATGATGTGGATGAAACAAAATATTGTAAATTGTTCTGGAGTTATGAAAAAGCAAGAAGCAATAAAGCAATACTGAATTACTTTCTCCCATCCACTGAAATAATTTGCCGTGTCCCCTTCTCTTACTCTTGACAACAACCTTCGGCAGAAATGCCAGAAGACCAACTCTCAAATTTCCACGACTCCTCTAGTCTTGTTTTAAAATAAATGTGGTTTCACGTTACCACATCTCAAGGAACGATTTTTGAAGACTTTCCTGAAGACATTCATTTCCATCTCATTCATCATCCCTGCTCAGTGAACCAAAAGCAAGTGAGTGTTTCTCCTCATTCCTTTCCATAACATCACATACAAGTCCATCCAATACCAGACATCTGCACCAGCTGGGGGAACTTCCTTTCTAGGAGGTCCCTTTTTGCAAAAGCTTTTGAAGAATTCAGGTTACTAAACTAAAAAGCTTGGAAATAAAATTCAGAAGTTTTTGCCGGAAATTCAGTTTGTCTCCAATTCTCCGGAGTTGAGCACACTGGTCTTCCAGATCTGAAAAAGACAAGTTAGACAAAAAGAATTAACTTGGAGATCAGTCCCAACTGTAAATCAGCAAGAGTTCACATTCAGCCTAAGTGCAAGGCTGAGGCTCTCTGAGACTTCTTCAACTTTAGGGCACCTGACCTTCCCAACATGGTAGTACAAACACAAACAGGGCAGGTAAGGGCACAGGCATTTGTTTTGATTTTTTTAAAACCACCCTCAATGAGGTCAGTTCTCTGCCAAATAAAGAAATTATGTATATTAAAAACTCACCAGCAGTACCATTAGTCACCCCACAGCCGTTTAACATGATGTCATCCTTTTCTCTTTTAAGGTTGGGCAGGGGACAAAAGTCAAATTCCAATAACTCATGATATTTTGAAGTGGACTTGATTTTTCAAATGGCAGTATGTCATAGCTCCATTCCTCCCTCACCACAAGCAAATATAAACATATCCTTTAGGAATTCTTTTGCTTTCCCCATAAGAATCATAAAATCTCATTGTAAAGTTGGAGTTACACTTTAAGACAAACTTGTTTTGCTGATTTGAAATAAAGTCTCTAGCCTTCAGAATGCTGCATAGCTTGAACTCCTAATCCTGCCTCTGCTTCCTAGTGCTAGAACTGAAGCCTCACTTTCTAAAATAATTTTCAAATTTACTTTTTTATCTAAGCCAGTTTATTTCTACAAGCCTAGTCTGTATCAATCCATGGTTTTAATGAGAAGAGTAAAGGAAAAAGTTTGATTCCCATATTTATAATTTTTCCCATATTTTCTTTCTTCCTTTATTTTAAGATTTTATTTATTTAAAGTATGAGTGCTCTATCTGCATGTATGCAGACATGCCAGTATAGATGGTTGTGAGCCACCAAGTGGTTGGTTGCTGGCAACTGAACTCAGGACCTCTGGAAGAGCAGGCAGTGCTCCTAACCGCTGAGCCATCTCTCCAGCCCTCATATTTTTTTTGAACTGAAGTATATTAATTAGCTGAATGTCGTTTAAAAAAATATGCCTTTAATCTCAACACTTGAGAGGCAGGACAGGCAGATCTCTTGTGAGTTCCAGGCTAGTCTACAGGGCTAGTTCCAGGACAGGCAGTACCACATGAAAAAAAAAAAAAAAAAAAAAAAACCACTGTCTCAAAAAGGAGGGGAAAAATTAGGGCTGAGGATATGGGTCAGTTGAATAATGTAATCCCAGAGGTAGAGAGACAGGAGGACCAGAAACTCAAGGTCATCTTCAGCTACATTAACTGGTTCAAAGCCAGCTTGAGACCCTGACCAAAAGACAAAACAAACAACCCCCCCAACCCAACACTATCTAGCACTCAATTTAGAAACAAGAATAAAACTCCCAAAAGGTAGAACTTCTCCCATTCAAGCAGGCACCTGAGAGAGTTCATTAAGGCCAATTAAACCATGGTCACACCAGCACTCAACACTCCTCTAACACGGCCTACAGGGCTAAGAAATGGAAGAGCGAAAAGAGCTACTGCACATGTTTGATGAATTAGCAGCCTGACCTACGGAGATTTCCAACCCCTAAGCAGCTGACATTTTATGAGATTCACACACACACACACACACAAGCTGGGGTGAAAAAGGCACCGTAGGCTGACAAAAAAAGTGATGAAATTAGGAACAAAGCAATGCAAAAAAAAAAAAAAAAAAAAAAAAAAAGAAAAGAAAGAAAGAAAGAACTCCTTCCTACTCACCAGCTAAACCCATCTGTCCCTCCGACCTTTCCAACAGGGACAGTTAAAATGCTAACTAAGGAGGAAGGCCTCCTGGATTCCAGAATTCAGACACCCAGTGGGGTGCCTGAATGGGAAAACAGCCTTGAGTGGAAGAACTGGGCCCAGAAGCCGCTTAAGAACTAACAAGTCCTGGAGGTAGGGGCATTCAGGGTGACCAGTCCCCTGAGCTGAGCTCCCAGGACGTCGCCTGGCCTCGGGAAGGCCCCAGTGACTTGTCTAGGGTGGCCCACAGCACGTGCCTGCCCCCCAACCCCCTCCGTGGAGATGGGCAACGTGCAGAAGAAGAGAAGCCTGGCAACATGCAAGCTGCTGCTTCCAGAACTTTCTTGTGGTGTGCCTAAGGCACGCGCCAGGTGGGCGCGAGCTCTAACGGACTGAGCCCGGCCTCCGCAGCCCAGCAGCGCCCTCCGCAGCCCAGCAGCGCCGGGACCCATACCTGCTGGCAGCCGCGTTGGGCTAGGGCTCCTCGCCGCGCTCTTTCGCGCTCTCTTGCCAGGCATCTCCGCCAGCACCGCGGTTACGTCAGGTTCACACCACGCGCAGTACAGTTTGTCTCCAATCTTCCTGAGCTGATCTGCGAACTCGGGCGCTAGCTCTGAAATAAATAAATAAATAAATAAATGAATGAATAAATAAGAAACAACGCCCCTTGAAATTAACACTCACAACAAGCCAAACCGTGACCTGCAAGTTAGCACACCCACCGAGCCAGCATCCCAGGGTGCCATTTGGGCGCACCGTTTTCCCAAGTGTGAGAAAGGACTTGGAATTTTGTGCACCCACACACCAACCCTGGCGGCTCAATAAAAGCTAAGAATGGAGACATTCACTCTAACCAACCAGGGAGGTCTCCCTTTTATCTCTCACTTAAGATTGGCCAGGGAACAGAAGTCAATTTCTAAAAAAAAACGTGTCGTTTTAAAGTAGATCTGCTTTTCCAATGGCAAAGTGTCAGTGCCCAACTAGGCCCTCTATTAAAAACTTTTTTATATTTTCCCATAAAACCCATACAACTTTGCTGTAATTGTCTACAGTCCCTAAAATAAATTAAAACCAAGCGTTTTCCTACAAGCCTATTCCGTACCAATTCATCACATCTATAGAAAGGCAGAAAAGTTAAATTCGTGTCTTACTACTTTATAGAATTTAGGCATTCTGATAGCTAGATAATAATTCAACTGGTTGGATATTAAGAAACACTGTCACAAGTAAAATTAATATGCAATAGGTCTACTGTAAAATAATATTTCAAAGACCAATTCTGGATGTTCTGTTATCCTCCAAGATGGGATCAAATATTACAAATACAAATAAAACAAGCTCTTGAACCCACTTTAAGACAAATTTTCTGTAACGGCTGAGCTGAGCGAAACCAGTGGCCCTAAGAGATTCCATAGTGTACCACGTTTTACTGAGTTTCAGAGTCAAATAATTCCAGAAATAGTCACAAAACACTCTTTAAGGTGAAATGCATTGAACGCAGCTTACAGATTGAGAAGCTGCGATTTCTAGGAGCGATCAGTACTTTCTCAAAGGGGGGAGGGGTAGAAAGAAGCGCAAAGGTCCCGGGGCCACAGACTGGCTGGGCAATAGCTCTACCCTCGCGCTCCACCTCGTCCCTACTACCTCCATTTAGGGAGCAGAACTGATTTTTTTGAGTCAGGTCTCACTCCGTAACAGAGACCAACCTTAAAGTATACAGTCCTGGCTAATTCTGCCCCGGCGTCCTGAACGCTGGAGTTAGAGACAGGTCCGCCCGGCGGCGTATTTTTATTGGCGCTACACAGTCACTACGTGACACCTCGGGATTCTCTCTGCTGCTCTATAAATCTGTCATAGGCAATGTCACGCTCATGTCGGACCTTCCAGAAATATGGTCCGAACACTTGGAACCCCTCCCCCCCACACACACACAAAAAGATGAGCAAAGGTCTTCCATCCAGGTTCCAGCTCTCCACCCTCATACTTGCAATGTAAACACTCTGCCTTGCCCACCGGCCTTATAAAAACGATAGGAGAAACGGAGCCTATGACTGAGTAAAACACCGGTATGCCTGCAACCCCTTAGCAGGTGACTGTCACCTTGGATTAAGACTTATTTTAAGGGGGAGGAGCCTCAACAGATACGGAGAATTGCATGTGAGTGACTGGGGCTGGAAGAGTTGACGGGTGAAAGAGTCGTGGACCAAATTCTATTCTCCCGGATTTTCCTGCCGTTCCCAATCTGGACAGTTAAAAGGGTTCCCGATACCAGAGTCTCAACCCCACGACTCCAAGGGTTCAGGGTGTGAGAGCTGAGAGAATCCGAGGTTTGAACACTACTCTTCCTTGGCGTTGGAGGCGAGGCGGTGGGAATCGAGATGAAGGGGGCTCTCAAAGATGGTCTGGGAAGGAAGAGGGCCTGTCAGGGAAGTGCTAGGCCCGGAGGCCTCTCCCACTCCCACCTGCCGCGAAAGCCATCTTCCAGGGCAAGACCTGCACAAGTTTTTTTTTTTTTTTCTCCTCTCCTCCTGGTTCCTGGGTAAGAGCAAGTTGAGACCCACGGAACAGACGGGAATTCTGGCCTAAAATGCACCTGCATCCCAATGACACGCTGCGCTGGGCTCCCCCTGAGGCCCACACTCCTGGTAGAAGCCCCTAAAGAACTTTCTAGACGCGTCGAAGGCACGAGCCGGGGAGCCGATTTGGCCCGAACATGCACGCGCGTACATTCCGGCCCGAGCGCGGATCATGACCTCGACCCTGACCTCAACCCCATCCTGTCCGCGGGCCGAACTGCTGGGTACCTTCCCGAGCTGGGTTCACTGGCGCGTTCTGACGCGCCTGACTCCGGGGCATCTCCCAGGCGCCGCGGCGATCTCCGCTGCGCACGGGGGACTGAGGTCCCCAATCTGGGCTCCCACACAACTCGGGCTCCCACAAGACGGACCGCAGGTGCCAGGCGGGCCACACGCACCGAGCTTCTGCAAAGCAGGACCGCCGCCGGAATTCTCTCAAGGCTGGCTCCCCACGCCTGCTCCAGGGTTTTATAGGGACTTCCCAGGTGACGTCATGTGACGTCGCCCCCCGTGTCCCCGCCCCTGCGAGCGGCTGTACCGCGGGAGCGGAGTGGAGCAGTTCTCGAGACGCCCCCGAGCGCAACCTGCTGGGACAAGCCGCAGACCGGCGCGGCGCCAACCCACGGCGGGGGGCGCAAGGAGGGCGAGTCCTGCTCAGCCCCTAAATTGCTTCCTTAAAAAACGAAGGCGGGAGGAGAGATCGCCTCGGAGAGGTCGTGTCCTCCGCTGTGGCACACGCCGGGAGTGGCTGAGGAAACCTTACTGGGAAGAAAGTTGGGGGCGGGTGAAGCCAGGCGCCGGGACTTTTATTATTCTTCGCCAATTAGGGACAAACGTAAACAACTCCGGAAAGGAATGGGGAAGGGAAAAAAGTTTCGAGATTTAAAGTTTGGGTCGTTCCGAGGAAGTGAAGAGGCGAGGGCTTTACTAGCAGAGGTCACGTGATAGGAGTCCCAAGTTCGAGTCCCAAATTAAACTTTGGAAAAGCTGTGTAGTGCCCGAGAATTGTTAAGATAAAGGAGAGGATAGTGGGCACGCTGGGCGGGCGCGTGCGGGTGTGGCCCCGGACTCCGGGCTAGTCCTTCGGGGCGGGACTGGGGTTGCTGAAAACCTGTGCACATTTCCTCTGGATGTGTTGATACCGCACAGGGAAGGGACCACCTTCATCTATGAGACGTCCACATCCTTTTGTAGAGGGGGAAGATGACATCTCTGGGAACACGAACTTCCTTACGCACAGTCTGGCTGTGCGTAACAGGAAGGGAGGACTTCATGATGAAGACTTGAGCGGATTTTTCTCGCCTAGTCCTCGACCTGGCCCTGGGAAATTTGGTCACTTTTCAGATGCAAAAATAATTCGACAGAGATTAAATTGCCCTAGTTCTTTCTCCGAGGCAGACAACAACGCCGCTCGGAAGTGAGCGCAGGCGGGCCCACTGTGAGCAAGCGCCGTGACCCACGAGGGCCCTGCCAGCAATCACCGCTCTCAGAAAACGGTGTTGCTTTTTTTTTTTTTTTTTTTTGCATTTTATACTGCTGTTTCCGTGTAGAACCTCCAGGTTCGATCGAATTCGGAGAACTGGTCCAGTTGTTCCTAATAGTGTCAGCCCTGGTTGTTGGGGTCTCTTGGAAAAGAAAACTCCCGCAACTCAGACTTCCTTTCCCAAGAGAGCCACGCAAGTTAACAACAGAATGGGAGCCACCGGGTTAGAGGGAGTTGGAGCCCTCAACTCCTGCTGCTTGCCGTTCTTGTTTACACTCAGTGGCTTCTGCGTGCTTTTTAGCCTGTTTGTTTTCCTTAAATCATTCGATCTCCACCAACTAGCAAATATTTATTTATGACTTGGGCCTGGAGGAGGCACAGACATCACGGAGAGGATCAACTAAACCACTCCGGTTTAGCAACTTTGTTTTAAAGCTGATGTCGGATGTTTTCTGAGCGAGCTAAATACTGAGGAGCAAGTATGAAACAAATTAGCGCCACTTGAGAGTTTCAGAGGGCGGTGCGAATGGAGAGGCAGAACCCGTGTTCCACAAATCCTTCTCAAAGCTCACACTGCTTTCCTCAGAACGCCGTTAATTTATTGATTGCACCAGCTAATAAACTTAAATTTAAGTCACGAGCCCTGGGATGCAATGAGTACACACACACAGTGAGAAAAGCAGACTGTAACATTGTGTACAACGCTTGCCTGTGGCAGTCCTGTCTTCTGACAGTTTCATCCCGAAAGATCGTCGATCCACGAAGGATACAAATATTAGACAAATCTGTGCCCTTACTTACCGGAATTACAAATTCTATTTGATTATTAAAAAAAAAAAAAAAAAAAAGGAAGGGATTTGATTTGAGTAGGCTTCAGAGCAGATCAAGGCAGGCCGCTGATGATGACTTTTCCTTTTTTTCTTTTTCTTTTCCTCCAGACAGGTTTTCTCTGTGTAGCCTTGGTGTCCTGGACTCATTTTGTAGAACCAGGCTGGCCTCGAACTCACAGAGATCCACCTGACTCTGCCTCCCAGAGTGCTGGGCTAATAGGTGTGTGCCACACCATGCCCGGCTGACATTTTTAAGACTTCAGATTTGAAATTATTTCTAGATTTTTTTTTTTTGGGGGGGTCTACCTTTCTATGAAGAGAATTAGAAGTCAAGTGTGAAAAGCCCTCTCTTCCTGTGTGCCTCATAAATACCATTATATATGTTGGCCTTGCAAGAAAATTAATCATGGGGCTATAGGGGCTAACAAAATAAATAAGTTGTCATTTAAGTGTTCTAATCTCCTACAACCTATGAAAGGAAACTGACAAGAAACACTGGTAAGGATGACAACTTTGAAAGCCATTGCCATGATCCAAGCTCTCTCTTTAAGATTTCTTTTTAATTGTGTGTGTGTGTGTGTGTGTGTGTGTGTGTGTGTACATGTGAGTGCAGGTACGGAGGCCTGAGGTTACAGGCAAGTTGGAAGCTGTCCAGCATGGATGCTGGGAACTGAACTCAGGTCCTCTAGAGAGAGAGTATCCGTAGCCAAAGATAACTGTAATCCTGCTGCCTCCACTTCCCAAGTACCAGACTATGGGATGTGTTCCACCCAGGTGCCCACGTGTTTTTGTTTTTGTTTTTGTTTTCAAGACAAGGTTTCTTTGCATATCCCTGACTGTCCAGGAACTCAGTAGAGACCAGTCTGGCCTTGAACTCAGATCCGCCTACCTGGTCCGGAGTGCTGTTAGATTAAAGGAGCACGCCACCACACCCAGTTTAACAATTTAAAGAGACAAAATCAAAACGATGTAAAGTTTTGAGGGGTGGATGTTTCCCCTCCTTCAGCGACAGTGCAGGGTCTGTCCCAGGCGCCGAGGCTGCTCGCCCTGTGCCATGCAGAGTGGAGCCCTTTAAATCAGGTAGGTAACCCACTGCACACTTGCTAGCAGCTAGCCCTGAAGCTCCTGCATGCATTTGGGACACAACAATTTGAAACACGGATATGGAGTTCAGAAAAAGTATTTTCCAGGTACATCCCTGTCTAACTAGAGTTCCTCTTCACTTGTCTACTTGACAGCTCAAAAAAAAAAAGATAATTTACTAACAACAATGAGCTAAAATTTAACCCCAAACTACTGTTTGGGTAAGTAAAAGCTCTCTCTCTCCCTCTGTGTGTGTGTGTGTGTGTGTGTGTGTGCTTAAAAAACAAAACCAAAACAAAACAACAACAGCAACAAAAAACTTACCACAAGAGGCCTGGTTAGGAATGGAATAATCATTTATATATTTCAAACCCAAGGACTATAGAGCTAAGCATTAGCCAGAAATGCTTAGATATTTAAAGGAAGTCTTTGATGAACTATGCTGTTTAAGGGACTGAATCTGTTTATGTTTACTTCAGTATCAAGGACTTGGTTTTTCCTGGAAAGTGTGTTTGTGAAATTTCTCCACTGCTCTGAGCACTTAAAATCTTTACTGTAAGACAGACCCCAGTGTGAAACTGTCCAGAAAGTGTTCTCTGACCCTGTGGGGTCTACAGTGGATAGATTCACAGGTTTCCTTTGAATAAGAATGGCTTGAAACCAAACGTGGCAGCTCACATTTGTAACCCTGGCACCCAGGAGCTTGTTCTAAGAGGACTGTCTTGAACCCCAGCACTCTGGACACAGAGGCAGGCAGATCTCTGTTAAGTCTGAGGCCAGTCTTATCTATAGAGCATGTTTGGGGACAGCCAAGGCGACACAGAAAAACCGTGTGAGATTCTGCATCTTTAACAAACTCTGGTGGTTTTGGCTAAGCCTTCTCAGGAAAGGGAACCTACATCAAAACCTGACATATGTCAATATGAGTCAGCAAAGCAGTGAGAAGGCTACAGAAATAAGGTGGACCCACGCAGGGATCCAGCCAGGTGAAGAGGGGGAGAGGGGCTGGTGAGAATCTGCTAGAGGAATTTGGATATTATTGTCACTGCTGTAAGGAAGCCATCGGAGGTTTTATGCAGGTGGGTGATGTGATCAGAGTCTAGTAAGGTCTCTGGCTGCAAAATGGTAGGATCAATTGGATGGATCCCTGAGACAAGCATGGCTCCAGACAATATATGGTAATTCTCAGACAAGATGGTAGTGCCATCAAGGACAAATTCAGTCACCTTCTCTTAATCCAAGTCCAGCAGTGTTTGCCCAGGGAAGAACAGCATTCTATTACTGTATATCTTAATTTTTTTTAGCATAAATATAATTGATGTTTTTATTCTACATTGTCCTTCTAGGGCTGCACAAACCTGGCAGTTTAAAACAATAAAATTGAGGCAGGCGGATCTCTGTGAGTTTGAGGTCAGCCTGGTCTACAGAGCGAGTTTCAGGACAGCCAGGCAGTTACATGGAGAAACCCTGACTCAAAAAGCAAAACAAAACAATATATATATATATATATATATTTTCTCTTTCATAGTTCTCGGAGCTGGAGGTCTGAAACCCAGTTGTCAGCAGGGGCCATGTTGCTCTGAAATGTCTAGCAAACGCCTTGTCTCTGCTAGCCTTCAGGGTTTGCACTCCATCCTTGGTATCACATGACTTGTAAATGTGGCACCTCAGAGTCTGCCCTTAGCCCTCACTCATACTCTCATATCTGTGCCTCCAACCTGTAGCAATCCTCCTGCCTCAGGCTCCTGAGCACTAAAATGACAGGTGTCTGTCAATATGCCCACCTCACCCTCTTCTTGTAAAGATATCCTTCACTGTTAAATTAGGGCTCACTCCAGACAAATACGATCTCATTTCAGTTTGATTAAATCTACAGCTTGTTTCCAAATTCATATTCACTAGTTGGACGGCCTAGGACCTCACATGCAGGAGGAAGTACACAACTAAAACTCCTAATGTCTCCTTTGTCAGCTCAGCTATCTTTAATAACAAAAAAGCAGGGTTGCTGGGTTAGCTCAGTGGGCTCACC